TGACACAAAATAAGAAAAATCAGTCGATCAAATCATGTGGCAGTGTACGTATTGTAATTCACAGTTTTAGTAGTGTGTCAAGAGCAGATGACCATCATGGGCTGACATCAGCTCGTCTTGAAAGTGTGGAAACACAGTATTCCGAACGTCCTGACGTCTGAGGTTTTTGCTCCCAGGGATTACTTTTACACACGTTAACCTCATTATCTGAAACTCTAGCCTCTAAAACTTAAGTTAATATTAATATCCGACATTGAAACATCATATTTATAACAGAAAATAAGGAAAAGGCACAATAGGTTGAGTCAAAATGAACCGCATATTCTTTTGTGAGAGACGTAAAGAGGGAAAGCATAAATGAAAGGTTATGTACTTTTTTTTTACTCTTGAAAAGTAGATTTAATTCAAACACAATGAAATCACAAATAAGGAGCTGAGATGTATTTTGAGTAGACTCCAAAGTAATTTCATCATTTGTCATTAAGTATAACTGCGAAGCTGGGACGGCCGTAAAGTGCATTGAACACATTTTCTCAATGGATGTGAAGTGGACTGCTTTGACAGCAGCAGGCCAGGCAGGGCAATGAGAGGTGGCCTTTCATCCTTGCTAGCTGTTAGCTTTGGCAGAGGGACAGCAGCCCTCAGCCAGCCTTCCTGCCTGCCTGCAAACTGGGATCACAACTGATTGCTGGGAGAGAACGGCGTGAAGGAGAGCGGGGTGAGAAATGAAAGAGAAGGAATATTACACATTGCATGAGCATAATAAGCGGTATCATGTTATGAAATTCAAGAAGGAAGCAGCGCAAAAAGACGTTTGTTTCCTCAGTTTTCTCCCTTGAAAGGAAAATATTGTCTCTTTGAGGTCTAACAGTAGAGGCAGAGGTGCTGAGGCAGGTGGGCAGACAGATATGCAGACAGGCAGGTAGTGACTCAGACAGGAAGTTACACAAGCCAACAGATGCAGGCGGCGAGGCCGACAGACTCGCATACAAGGAGGCTGCAAACAGATGAGGGAAATGAATTTTTTGTGCGGCTGGTATTCTGCTGAATAGTCGTAGTGGTATCCATGGCAACATGGCTTTGGCATTCTCGGTAATGCTGGAAAGAGTGGCGAGTGGAGGAGAGGAGCAGGCAGCGAGCGGATGCTGGGATTCACACCAGACAGAGATGGAGTCCAGGTCCAGCTCAGTGCAGCATGCACCTAGGCAATATATCAATATTTATCTTCTATCATGGCAGTGATTGCCACAAGAGGCTGCTCTGTGTGTGTGTGTGTGTGTGTGTGTGTGCGTGTCGCTGCTACCTTGAGTGCCACTGAAAAACTGTGCATCATTGCACTGTTTACTTTGGATAAACAGCTGGTTAGCTGGGATGCCATCTCAAAATTGTAACATTTTCCAACGCATGACGGGTAATCACTCTCCATACGTCCCTTATCTCATGGGTTGTAGTAGGCAACATAGCAGTATCCAGGATGTGTATGTTTAGATATTATTTAGAAAATCGTGTTAAGGTCTAAGCACTTCATTTCTCCCATGTAACAATACCAGTGAGAGAAGTGTAGGTGGAGCATCTTCAAACTAAAGACGCTTTAATTGCCATTTCACTGGTCCTTTAAAAACTAGAGCTGCCACCCGACTAAGAATTTTCCTAGTTGGCTATTATTCGTCATTTGGGGCCATTAGTCGACTAGTTGTTCGCATGTTTATGATGTTAATGTAATTATGAAATTATATATTTTGGGCAGGGCAACACAATGGTTTCACTTCAAGAACACAGAAACTGTGCTACATTACAGAGAAATACAAAACCGTACTAATGAACCTTCATTAATATAGGCCTATATTTTATCTACAAGTGCACGTCACACACTGAGCGAGCCGCCTGTTAATGACGCTGTGGGCAAAGCAGTAATGATTGTGCTAAGTGGCTAATGGGCATGTAGCTACTTCCATGTTTCAGATGATATGTCATGTTTGTAGTCGACCAATGAAGATGAGTTTACATATCACCTTGGGTTCGTCCTTCACCTTCTCAAAATGATCCCACACTTTGGATTTCCTGCCCGACATGTTATTAACTAGCCTGTGGAATAACCACAGGTACCAGCCCTGGAAATTAGGGGCCGCACACACGCTGCGTCTTTAACTGCCTGGACAACGCAAGGTCGGACAGTGGGCGCTACTCTTGTGGCTTTTCTGTGCTGTAGGAGGTTGCATCTGTGTAGGCCTATCGTCCGTGGGACAGATGTAAAGCTCTGTGTCTGTCATTTCAAATTAAAGTCCCACATGGTTCAGTCATATATGTTTTGATTTATTTTGACAAGGCACAGCTCTTAATTTTTGTTTTTTTTTGTGTGCGACTAAGGAACCAATGAAATCTTGCCAACTAATAACCTTTCTGGTCGAGGTGCAAATTGTCACATAGCCATGTTATTTGTTTTATGGAGAAGTTCTGTAAAGAGGAAGTGCGTTGGCTTTATTTCCAGTCAGGACACTGAGTGGAGCTGCTCATCAGTTGCAACAGTGCGTTCAGGGAATGTCAGAAAATTTTAGAATTGTGACACAACATGCTCATTTTCTGGAAAGCTTTTTTTAAAGACATGATGCAGTTTCCATCAGTAAAGAGTGTTATCTAACTGGTCTGTTTGTCTGGTTTGAGTCGGAGAAGCTCTGAAAGTAGAAAAACAATTTCACTGCAGCATGTTCAGGATAAGAAAATCTTGCTTGATTTTATTGTGTCTGGCAGGATAAACGCTGTCGTTAAGAGCCATGGGGATGAGCAAGAGGAGCAGTGTAACAGGTGCAAAGCTTTGTAGTAAACAATGCATCAGCTTAACAATGTCACATCATCAGGAAGGTTTTTATTTGAGAGAAAGCTGTCATCTGTCAGCTCTCACCACAGACAACGTGCTCTGTGTACTGTTTCTTACTCACTGGATTAATTTTTTAAAGCCACAGCATTAGTTCCTATTTCATAAATCACATTGTTATTCAGGACTTACGACTACTACAACAAAACTTAGTGTGGGCTTAGCGTGACTTTAAGACAATGAACCTGTGTGTTCCCATGTCTCCCAGCCAGACCGAACTTCTCTGCTCTGCCAGTAAAGGCTGTCTTACTGACTTTCACTTCATGTTCTCATTTGGACTTCAGGAGCTTTTGGGAAGTGCTGATGAGGATTCAGCACTTTTGGCTGCTTAGCTTCCTTGAGAATGTCTATTTCATGAAGTATATGCATAAATACATAGGCCTGTCATGGTAACTACTTTTGGTGGACAAAATATTTTGTCTTTTCACTCCTAAGAATATGCAGACTTTGGAATTGGAGTATGAAATAAACATTCAACATTTTTTTTTACTAATTTAAATGCAGTCAATATATTCAAGAAAAGTATAAATAAAAGTATAGTACTTTGTAGGAGTAGCACAAAATTTGTCAGAGACTTAAAGGTCCAGTGTGAAGGATTTAGGGGGATTTTTGGACGTGAATCTACTTAATTCTGTGTTTTTACTGGTTTAAATCACCTGGTCTGTTTGTGTTGGAGAGGAAGAGACCTCTGTGGATAATTTGGTTCCCGGTAAAAACCTCCTAACAAAGAACAACAAAGGAATTCTAACTGGGAGAAGTTTCAGCTGGTCGCAATCTGTAATCCTCACCACTAGATGCTGCTAAATCCCTCTAAACCTTACACACTGCTCCTTGAATACAAAGTCTGGTCCCCCAAAACAAAACCAAGTGATGCCTCTTGTGACTAATAGACAAGATTAGTGAAGCTAGTTACCAGTTATCTGACCAGTGTGTTGTAGTTGGCTCCCGGCAATGGACGGCCTGGGAACATGGTGGTTTGCTGGTGAATTTTTTGTGTCAAGGATGAAGTTGTTGGTGGGTAAAGCTACTAATGATGATTTTTTTTGGCTTGTTGCAAGGGGTTGGCAAGCTAATAACTATCAGGGCTGTATGTCTTTCAATCCAAAAGTGCAGCTGCAGGCTACCAGTAAGCTGCACTGCGTCATCTTTGCACTGTTGCCTTATTTTTCTTTGGACTCGTGTAAGTAGACAAATGTTCGTGACATTCTTATGTAAACAAACACGTATGTAAACACAACAGGCAGCAACGAGGTCAGCAAAATGTTTGAGGTTGTGTCTATTTATATGATAAGTTAAAGTCTAATTATCATGACAGGCCTAGGTCATACTAAGTGACTGCTTTTACATGATAGTGTGTCTGTGTGTGTGCTCTTCTGTGTGGTGGTCCAACAAACACAGACAAAAATCAACAAGCATGGGGACTGTGTGTTCCATGTGTGTGTTTCTTGGCAATAATTTCAATAAAAAATTTTTTTACTAAAATTTTAAGGCAACTGCCAGATATGAGATGTTTATTTGGAAAAGCTTCAGCTCCTTTTCCGACATGCTTGTTAATGGTGCGTCATAAGTGACCAAAAACAACATTTAACGTGCAAAACAAAACCCACACAGCCACTTGAAGTTGTCTCACATGTGCCCACAATCATTTCGGGTTTATTTGTTATGCTTACAATGCTGTGGCGCAAGGCAGGCGACTACACAAAGACGCACTCAGTTGCTTAGGATTGGAAGTGTTATGTGTAATAACAGAGCGTGGCTGCTATTTTAATCTGTTGCTGTGTTTGTTTTCTGTTTCGAGGACAGAGAATAGAGAATAGTCAAACAGCTCATTGGATCAAACTCTACATCTGACACTTAGCAGAGCCAGGGAGAGGAGGAAAACAAACACACCCATGCCAAAACACATGCACGTACTCATATGCATGTGCCCACACACACATTCAATATTAATTATTAAAAGGATGTGATTCAGACACAAAAACTTCACTCTCGTGTGTTGATGAATTAAACGTGTGCGGCCAAAGAGAAAAGGAAAAACAGTTGGATTATGCTTCTATTAATGCTATTATAGATTTACTGTTCAGGAACAGAGCTGGATTTAAGGATTATCAGGTTCATGTGAACCTACCTTGTATCCAGCATGGGTCCTGCCCTTTGTGAGCGGTGTGGTGGAGCAGAGCTCAATGGCCTCGGGCTCGTGAAAGATCACCGTGGGCAACGGCTCCTTCCTCAGCGTCAGCACATTTAGCTTGGTCTTCAGCATGGTCTGAAAGTGCTGATGGAGAAAGGAGAGAAATACACACACGTTGTGCTTTAGGCAAAGTTGCAACCAGAAGCATGCAACTTTAAGCTTGTAGGTTAACATTTGTAGTTTCCTCGTCAACGCTGCTGGAGGCTCGAAAAAATGCATCTGCCACAAAATCAGTATTTCAGTGTTATTGTCATTTACAGAATAAAATATGATGGTAGAAAAAGCAGCAAAAGGCATCAGGATATTATGTTTTAAGCTGTTGTCTGATGTGTATAAAAACATACCAGTATGAAATTTAAGGCAGGAGCATTCCAGATTTGCAGTACCCTCACACACACACACGTGCACAAGAGCACACACAGATAACTAATATCAGTGGTGAAAACTGGAGCTGAAGACTGGAAGTGAGATGGTGTGAGAGGTTTTCTCTGCTTGAAAGTGGAATGTGAGAAGCAGATGAAGGGAACTGTGGCCTCGCTGCCTCCGTCAAAACAAGAGCGGAGAGCCGCCTGCTCTCATACTACAGTCCACGGCCAGTGTTTCCTGAAGCCGAGCAGAACCACATGGTGGATCTGGCCCTGTGGAATTTCTGGGCTCCCTCGAAACAGTCAAGACGAAACTGAGCGGCTTCTGAAATCAGGACGTTCACAACTGAGGAAGAAACACGGGTGCATGGCATGTCTGTGCAGCTCCTCTACATTATCAGAGATCACGTTGAACCCCTGCCATGCTAGTGACATCGTCAGTGCAGACTGAAATACCTCAACAACTGCCATATGAGCTGCAATGAAATTAAGTACACACACTCATGGTCCCAGGAGGATCAATCTTAATGACCTTGATGATCATTGGGTCATTTATTCACATAATATCTGGACCAAATTCTTGCAAAACTGCCAACATCACATCCGCCTAAGCTGTGTTTACTTTTGTTAGATGTTAGCCTGATAACAGCTAAACTAACATGGTGAACATCGTAAACATCATACCTTCTTAATGTCAGCACTTAGCATTATCATTCTGAGCATGTTAGCATTTACCTCATAGCATCACTATATCTTACAGCTTCACAAAATACCAGGAGGCCACGTACCAGTCGCAGCAGCCTCACACGGGTCAGGAGTACACAGGGGCATTTCTAGGATTTGACGACTTTCACGGCTTGGCTTGGATCCTCACATGGCACTTTTTTGATAAACAACCTCTATTTTATGCTTTTCTATGCACTCTGTGAACTTATTTACATTAAAAGTACAAAAAATCCCAGTGAAAATCTATTTATGGCACCCTATCACAGGCCAGATTTGGACTATGGGGGTAACTTGAGTATCACTTCTGTAGACTCTTGGACGTGTCCGTACATTCATGTGACTCTCTTTATTTCTCACCTTTATTATAACACCTTTCTGCTATATACAGATAAAAAAAAGAAGCAATAACAGATGCTAATCTGGTCAGCTACTCGAGTGTAAGTCTAAGTCTCAGAATATGTCTTACTGACCACTGTTCTGTTAAGTACAGGTTACTTTTACAAATGTTTTCCTCTCTTTGGAGCTTTAAAGCTGTTTTCCATGTTGGACCTGCACAATGTCCATTTTTTATGCAACAGATGCTCAACATTTTCAGGCGATGAAAACAGTAAATCCTGCCAAAACAGGCTACCATTAATCGTCAGTGTCGGGTTGTTTGGCAAACCCAAGAGGAACATCCTCCATCAACTTCAAGAAATAGGTTTTGGTGTCCAGTCTCTAAATTCAACGCTGCTGCATCATGAGGCTGCCAGGCTTTTAACTCGTACTAACAGTAACAACAACACCACACCAATCCTTTCTGGCCATCATTGGTTAACTGTGAGTTTAAGAATTGGTTTCTAGCATTGGTGCTTTGTAGTCTGCCTCATCAGTGCCTCTGACATATTTTCAATTACATTAATCTGAGTGCAAACACCTGTCATTTGGCTATATTATATTAACGCTGCCCTCTTAATAACAATACCATACGTTCATAGATATTGCCAGTTTTAAGGGATTGAAATTATATGTACAAATGACATAAATAAAAATTTAAAACAGTCGGCTATTTCACACTTAAGGTCATTTTAGTGCCCTCCATCTAAATCCCATGACGATGCCCTACAGTTCAACATGCAACCTGTTGGAGGAGAAACCCTACGCACACCTACCCATGAACCTTCATGCTGAGAAAAGAAAAAATAAAGAAAGAGGGGGGTTGGGGGGGCTGTTGTCGGGAAAGAGGAAGATAAGGTAAGGGAAAAAAAACAAGGAGCAGATGAAGGAGAACAGGAGAAACAGCAAGATGGAGTTGTGAAAGTAAAGCCACATGTGTGTAAACGCTCGCTGACCTCCGCGTCAGCACTTTACAGCTTCCTGACAGCGGCTCGCATTCCTGTGGTTGGCCCCGGTACGGAGAGGGGAGGGGGGGGGGGGGGGGGGGGGTCTGTGGTGGGCTCCCCGACTCCTCCACCCCCCACCGGGAGCAAAAGGCCTGAGCGGAGGGTCGCTTGTGGACTAATGCTGGAATTCTATTCATAATATTTTCGCTGCATTTTAATGTTTTTTATTTCTCAAGTCCCAACAGTCTCCTCATCAAGTTACTGCTGTTACTGATTCTATTTCTGACCCGGGCAGGTTTTCTGTCTCCACCATCAGGGCGGTGTGGTCTGGGTTGGGTTTGAGCTGGTTACAGGACAAGGGTCCTGTCTACACTTCAGACCTAAATGCCAAACAATGGCTGCTGTCACAAGAAAACCTCAAATCTCCAAATAATGGTCCTCTTTCAGGATTATGAACCTCGTTTTCAGACACTTGAGCAACACTCAGTGGCCTGAGAAAGCCTTTAATATGGTAAATATTTACATCTCATCGACACCCTCTAATTAATTATGATGTTCCACCACTAATGTGCACAACATGCTAAGTGTACCTATGACTCAGGAAGGGACATAAGGGGTCGCCAAAGTCCACACTAGTGATGTGCAGCTCAGTTATGAGAGCCAATCCACCAGGCCTGACCTGCAAACATATGCGTGTATCAATCACCCAAACCCGAACCGCAAACCCACTACCAAATGAAAGGGGATGGCAAGCACTCCTTCATCGTTTAGGTGATAATGTCTTGAGTATGATCTCGAGTGCACAGATTTCCTACGTGGTTTGGACAGAGAGATGCTTGCTTGCTTGCCAATAGGACTCACTGGTAGGCCTACATATTCTCAAAAGGAAATATTGTTATTATCATTTCAACTGGAGATATTCAAATATGTTGCACATGAACAGATTTTCCTGATCAAAAACTGGACAATAGAAACCCAAAGTGCAGCAGCGCTGATGATAAAGCTGCTGGTTGTGTGTGTTTGAGAGATTCAGGGAGAGGGGGAGAGAAGGTGGAAGGTGGACTATTGCACAGTGTTTCTGTAAGGTATTCATACCTTACTCAAAAGGCTGCTTTGCCACATAATGACCCGCTTGCCTCAAACTTGCAGTATTTTATAACAAGCTTACCTAGACCACGTCAACCTTCAACCCTCATCCACACATACCAGAAATCTAATAGGATCTTTGAGAACTTAACATCTTTGCCAGGGTTTGATAAGCGACACCCAACACCCTGTTTGGCTTCAAGTCCTTAACACTATTTGGGTTATATCCAATAGATTTTCACCAACATCCTTAGATACATTCAATAATGTATAGACCTATACTACTGCAACTGCTGAGAATTTCCTCGCCAGTGTCAATCTGCATTTTATACCCGAGTCAAAGCCAGGTTCCCCTTTATGCTGGATTCAGGGGGGGCATTTTGAGATAATCACTGAGATTCATTTTCCTCAGTGCGACGGCTAATTATCCAATCACAGAAGGCTGAACCTGTCCAGAATATTCAGCTTTTACTTAACAGTTGTGAGACAAGCTATGCTGTATTTTGAAGAGGAAAGGTCACATAAAATAAACATGTTAGGCTAGCAAGCAGCGTACACGTTCATCCTGGATTCAGATGTCCAACTATTCACATATTGTGTGAGAAAAGAAAAAGTTAAATGTTGCGACGTTTGATACATCCGATTCTGATTTTGATTATACGACTATGAGGCGTCTTCACATTGTAGATAAAGCTACAGTCTTTTTCAATCAAGATGAATTTTTATTACATCTGTTTTATTATCACTAATTAATGAGTATTATTCCATTTATTTATACTTACTAAGTTTTATTGCTTCCACTCTTCATATGTTTAGACTTGCTATAAATCCAGTCAAACTATTTGGTCATTTGTAAGCCGGTTATGACATTCACTGTCATAACATTAAAAGGTCTACATATTTAGCAGCAGACTATAATGCTAAAAGCATCCGCACTGACTCACTACTGCCTGTAACCATGTGATTAACACGCATTTTATGACGCAAATAAGCCACAGTAAAAAGGAACTTGGCTGAACATTACCAGAACTGCTTTTAATAACTTCAACAATTCATATGTTTGTATTTTACAGATCTTAGGGCTCATATAATATGGATTTGTTTAGAAATTGTGCAATAAACTGTATCACACCGCTTTTTTTTCTGAGATAAGTACTAATACTTAAAATTGGGTGGATGACGAAGGTCAAATCGCACAATCCCAGCCCTGCAAGCTAATTCTGAGTGATTGTTCCCCAAGTATGTTCATGATAGCTAAGAGAAATCACAAGTGTCATCACCACAAGTACACATAGTTATCTTTCAAAGACTCTCCACTATTAAATAACTGCGAGTTGCACATTAAAAAATACATAAACCCAGGACGACACATGAAGCAGTCATGTCCATGAGAAAATCAAGCAGACAGGCTTTGGAGAGTTTGCCCTCCTGCAGTGATGAGCTTAGCAGGTCACAGATGGTAAGTTAAACTTTTGGCCCCCTGAGGGAGCATCCTGACAGGAAAGAGGTTCTCGGGTCAATCTCATGGTAGGACACTGCATAGCAGGGTAAAAACAGACCTCTGCTCGGCCATGCCTACTGAGAC